CTCTCTCTCTCTCTCTTTCTCTCTCTTTCTCTCTTTCTTATTCTCTGTGTGTGTTCTCCTCTCTCGAGTGTGCTCTTTTCAAGAAATCGACTGCCGCGAGTGAACACACCCGTCTCGCGTACGAGACCTCACTCCGTGAAAGAGACGTTCCATAGGTTATCTCTATATAGAGGTTGGCGACACTGCTCGAGGCAGAGAGCTTCAACGTGGTTTGAAATTGGAACAAGGAAAGCTTCGCTTTCGGGAATTTACGACGTTGTTAAATAAGTCTGGTATCTGGTTTTTTTTTTTTTTTTTTGAAAATGGTAATTTTTTACTAAATACGAATGAAAGTGTTCCATATTCGTTTGGATTGCCATGGGATTTCTTAACGAAAGTTTTTTTTTTGTTTTTACTTGATATGGAGAATTACACGTTGCATTATGTACGTTTGAATATACAAGATACGAGACGTTTCATTTGCGTTGCAAAATAGGGATTTCAGTCGGCAAGTTGCGTTCATCCGATGTTAATGAGGATTATTTATTTTTCATCGGTGAAACAAGGAGCCGATCGGCTTCCAAGGGAATTTTAATTATTAATTTCACCGAACGTGTCCTGAATATTTCAATGTTTCAACAAAGTGATATTTCGCGAGTTCTGGGGATCTGATTTCGCGCTGTAGAAAGGAAGAAAAATTGGAAAGTCTCTATTATTGATTTCGATTAAAAAATGTAATGACAGTGAATTTGCACAACGGGACCAAATTCAAACAACAAAATCAATCGAGTTCAACTCGAGGTTCTAGCCAGTGTTCGATCGATTTTCGCATTCAGTTTGCACTGACAATCGACGAATATAAGAATATCGACAATCTACGTCAAATTTCGCTTGAATCGACGTACGTGTCTGCAAATTCTACATCGAATCGAACTTTCTACCGGACGGATGTACTCGATTCGTCGATGTGTCATTCGTGATGGGCAGCGACAAACAAGCCAGCGTTAAGAAACGAGAAAGAGAAAAAGCAGGACAGAAGAGGCACGAATTCTAGTCAGAGTTTATCATGCACGTGGGCATACCGAAAGCGCGGTTCTCTCACACACAGATTGAGAGAAGATTATATTTCGCAAAGCGGCATAATCTCGCTTGCACAAGTTGCATCATGCACCACCGCCGATCGGCCATCGGGCTCGGCATAAACTCGTTCTAAAGCTCGTCTTTCTTTCGTTCGTAAAAGAAAAACCAACGTCTCCGACGTCCACGACGATGACGATCATCTAATGCCCTCTGCCAATCGTGGCATCGCGATTTCTCAATTTCGTCCCGGCGATTTACAGCCGCTGGTATTTTCAATTTCAATCTACCGAACTGTTGAAGTTGCACGTTGCCGATTGCTCGCGCGTTGCTTCGTCCGTCTCGAGAATGAGAAAGAACGGAATGAAAAGTGCGAGGGAAACGAAACGAAAAATTTCGTCACGCGTTCTGTAAAGTCGAGACATAATTTAAGAAATTGACTCTGAAGTTTTTTTTCTAACAAGCTTTACTATGGAAAAGTTTAGAATATTACAATGATTCCTTTGCCTCGATGGTTCGGACTAATAACAGTGGGAAGAAACTGAATATTTTCCTGAAAGTTTTCCTTCCCTTTATTTCATGAAGGATACTCAGTGCAAATGTTAGAAATAATCGAGCAATATTTCTCACCGCTCGTTTAATCGTGCAATCAATCTGAGGTTTCTCGAATTGGGAAGACCGAGTCTAGAGACGCAATTTCATTGATTTTTATGAGATACAATTCTCGCTGTGATATAACATTAACTGCCAGCAACTGCGTCATATAATGAATATTTTATCAAAGCAAATAAAAAAAAAAATCTATCGAATGAAAGATAAAGAATGTAAGGATGTAAGATAAAAAAAATTGAGAGATCATCTCTGTTGCGAAACTCTTCAATCACGTTCTATATTTCTTTCAAAAGATCAAAAACGATAAAGATCTCGAATTGAAAAGATCAAATATGAAGATATTTTGCCTCAAAACCTAACATAATTAAACACAGTCCTCCTGTGATAAAATATTTGTAAGAATTCTACATAAAACGTGAATATTTTACCGAAGAAGCGTATTTACTTGAAATCTATTGATTTCAAAGGATTATTTTCCAATATAATCTAACAGTAAGTGATAACTAACATGAAGGATCTCGAATTTGATTTCAAACGATCATAGAATTTAATCCTACAGATCAATTTTCAATCATCGAAACATCCTTCCAACGTAAAAATCGTAAAAATCTATATTGATGAAAATCGTTCGAAACAAAAGAAAGAAATTGCCAAGAGACAATTTTCTAAATTTCCTCCAATAAAACTTGGCAGGATCCTAAGTTTCACGCAGGAAGGGAAGCGTGGCAAAGCCTGTTTTTCCAAAGGAACGTCCACGCAGTCGAAGTCTTTCTTCCTTTTTTTTTTTTTTTTTCTTTCTTTCTTTTAAATGGCGAACGTTTTAAGAGCGATTCGTGGCGAAAATAAAACGATCAGGTTCGCTTTTAGCCGTGTCTGGTTGTACACTCGCGTGCGCGCGCCGACGACGACGACGATGCAAATGGCGCGGTAGCAGCTAACAAGATTGCACAGGACATTCCATCGTGAAATGGACGCAGCTTCGTTGGCGTTTCGATAAATCTACGTTCCATCCTGGAATCGCGGTAATTACGCGCCGCGGAATTTTCGTAATGGAGAACAGGCCAGTCACTATTTTACAAGAAGGCGAACCGTCCTCCACTTCTGACGAATGAACCATCGATATTACAGTTCTGGTTTATTTCTTTCTCTCTCTCTCTCTCTCTCTCTCCCTTTTAAATTCTTCCTCTTTCTGGCGATAAGTCGGTTGAACATTCTACGTTCGCTTGCTTTGTACAAAGAATCGAATAACGATGCGCGTACAACGAAATGTGAGATTAGAGAAGAAGCTGCAAGTACTCGAGTCTTCAAATTACTTTTCTGTTCTGTTTGTAAATCTAACCACTTTTCTTTCTTACCTTCTAAAATGTATATTCAACATTTTCTAAATAGAAAATGACTATTTATTGATATAATAGGCATTCAGGGTTAATTATCTTGGATTT